CCCTGCCTTTTTCCCTCTGGCTGCCATTTGCTGCAGACTGGAACCAGAGAGCAGGTAGGTTTGGGGTCTGGAGGACTCCTCTTCGTAAGCCTGGAGGATGTGTCTGTATCCCCTTGGTGGAAGGATTGCTCTGCACAGCGGGTGGAAAAGGGCTCTATTCCAACCTTCTGTGGGAATGCTCAAAGGCTTCCACGTGAGGGGGAGACTAAAGACTCATCAGCTTGGGAGTGAGACTGCTGTATATGGTAGAGGTCTCTGAAACAATTTCCAAGACAGAGAGGGTAAAGGAGGAGTGATTGTTCAGGGTTTCTTATGTACAAAAAGTAGGGGCAGACCTTGACAGCAGCTCTGACATGTGAATACTTCATTCGATTTCAGTTGTGAAACTTGTAGCTTCAGAACAGTGTTGATGCCAAATGGGTTCCAAAAGAGCCGGACCTCCCTGGTCATCGGCTGTAAAAACGGGTAGCCCAGACAGATGGGATCTTTGCAATCTCGGAAGCTGAATGGGGAGGGATCATGTCCCTGCTCACACCTCTGTGCATGGGACAGTAGCCTGGATTGACAACTGGCTCAGCCTTTCCAGATGCTGTTCTGCTTCCTCTTTCCCACTGACATTGCTCAATGCCGCTTCTAGGCCCCCTTTTTCCAAGCTGGAAGATTCCTTTGAAGCGCTCTCTCTCTACCTGGGAGAACTTGCCATCCCCCTCCCGTCTGAGCTGGAGGAGCTGGACCACAACGTGAGTGTGCAGTATGGACTGAGCCGTGACAAGCTACCTGAAAACACAGCCTAGTCAACTTGTCCTGATGCCTGCACCACTTCCATTGGGGTTGAGATGAGTGACAGGGAGGGAGATGCACTTCAGCCACTTCCAGGGCATTAATGGGGCACCACGCTGTGCATTTGCTGTATTGCCTCTCTCTCCCCACCCAACACCCCTCCTCTTGGACATCCTGATTCGCTATGGATTTCTGGCATGTTTCAGAAGCAAAAAGGGCCATTTCCTGCCAACTGCACCTAGGAAGGCTGCTCAACACTATTTTTCTGGCTTGAGAAATGTTTCTCTGGCCTTTTGAGGCTTCTTTACTGTGGTGCCTTAGAACTTGGCTGCAAGCTGTGAAGCCACCCTGGCCTGGCTGCCAGGGAGGGAATTGCTATAGGAGACTCCTGGGCAAGGACCAGCACTTCTGGAACTGCTTCTCCCACTGACTACCCTGCTCAGAAAGCTGGACATCTGGCAAAAGGCCCCACTAGGACAGCATGTGCGTGTATGTTTGTGCATGTGTCTTCCAGAACCAACCCACTGAGATTTGGCCTCCAATGTGCATCAGGGGAGGGAGTGAAAAGACCCAGGAATTGGGCAGCTCTCCTGAAATACCTTGTCTGTGGGGAAGCGTGTATAAATTTTTGTTTTGGTTTGGTTTTGTGGGTTTTTTTCCTCCTCTGTCTCTGAATACCTCCAAAAGCCTGCCTAGAAACACTAAGACTGAGCTCTGCTTGCCCCTCCTGATGGTGAACAAGGCAGGCAGCAAATGAGCCACTTGAGCTCATCTTCTGACCCTGAGCCTGCACAGTGAGTTTGCCTGCCCAAGAACCTTAACCTAGGTGAAAATATTTGAACCTGAATGTTTAGAACTGCACTAGGCACTGGCTGTGGACATCCCTGGAGTGCTGAAGCTGCTTGAGCTCTCGGCCTGTGGACGTGAGGTGACAGAAAGGGTGACAGAAGGTGCTCTTCAGAAAGCCAAAGGTCTGAAGTGGCTCGGTCTTTGTGCATGGACAATGGCAAAGGGGGACATGCCCAAGGTTACTTAAAGGATGGACTTGTCATGAACAGAAAAGTGCTGGAGAATGTCCCATCCTCCCAAGAGTGGCAGCTGGAGAACTAGTAATTCAGTTGCCATTACCTCATCCTTTCCTGCAGGCTGTGCAAGTCGCTCCCTTGAAGGTCCTTCTTGCTGCTGCTGCTGCAGCGCCTGAGCTGATTCTCCAAGCAGAAACTTTCCTCAGGGTCATTCCCTGCTTTTGGGGAGAAAAAAGGGCTTGGAGTCATTGGGAGGTGGGTGGGAGTGTATTTTCTTCCAGCACTTCTCTTCTTCCTCCCTCGGTGGGAGAACGAAGAAAGCTACTGCTGCAGTAGCTCATGTGGTTGGCAGAACTGAACAAAAAACTGGCTCAAGTCCTGCTCTTAAGTTTCACAAACATCTTGGTTTAACTGGATTTTTAGTGTGCTCCTTTCTAGCCCCCCCCCCTTTCGGTATTGAATGGTGGGGAATGGGTGTTAGTCTTTGGTGTTACTTTGATTTCCTCCCCTACCCATGAGTTTAAAGTATTATGTAAAATAACATGGGACCAGCCATCACCTGACAAAAGGTGTGTGTGTGGGGGGGTGTTTTTAGTCTGTGTAGTGGTGTTTTAGAAACACTGGGGACTCCCTGTGCTGTGAGTCAGTGGAGGAGCCTCTCTAAACTGGGTCCAGTGGATTCAGGATTGTCAATAGGATTTGCCCTTTCTTTCCCCCTCCCAGGCTGGTTTGTGAGGGGACCCCTGAAGGGGAGAGTCCTGGGTGATGTGTGGGTGGGGTTTATGAACTGTGATTTGCACAGCTCCATGTTCTAACTAAATTAAAAAGCAGTAAATGTATGCTATGAAAACAAGATTTTGTTGTCTCTGTGTTATATAAAGCAGGAAGCTGTAACTTTCTCGGGTTTCTATTGCTGTCACAAAATGGCAACATCAAAACTGCACAGATAAGGTATCATCTAGAATTCCCTTTCTTGAGCCAAAGGGTTCTGCCACATTTACAGAACTACAGAGATGCAGTGCAAGTGCTTTATAGTACTATTTACTTAGAGTGATGGAAAGGGAAGAAGTTGTCAGGTTTTGTTGGTTGGTGGGGTTTTTTTAAGGGTGGACAGGCATCAGCAGAACATGGAGTCTCTCTCCATTTTCCTTTTCTGATCCAGGGATAGAAATACGGCCTGTTGGAAACCTCTTATTCTGAAATATGTAGTTCAAGGGGCATTTGTTGGGGCATTTGTTAAGGCAACAACTGAACGAAAATGCTAGCTATGTCAGTGCCTCCTGTAACCTGCTGTGCTCTGTCTTCATCATGCCTTCCAATGCAAGGCCCCGAGGGATGGAGCTGCTGCTGAGCAGCACCAAAGCAGAACTGACCCATGTCAGTGCAGGAAGGGGCTGTAACTGAGAGCGTCTTCCCACAAGCCAGCCTGCTAGTCAGCACAGCTCACACACCCACAGCTGCTTTTCAGGAACCATGTCCCAGTCCAAGACTAGCTGCTGGCAGCAAGGAGACAAGCTCCATGCCCCTTGTCAGCGCTGGTGAGCAGAGGCACTGCTTGTAGGGATTTACCTTTGGGCCTGGCAAACTGAAGCGGCATCTTCCCTTCTCCTCAATTTGAAGTCTGCAACAAGCAAAAGGATGCTGCTCTGGCAGGAGGAATGTACAGATGAGCCACAGTCCACACAAGTCTACAGAGCTTTTTTTTTTTAAGCTTTAATACAAGGTACCACAATCTGCACCTTCTCATAATGAGGTATTTAAAACATTTTACAAAGAAATGGTATTCAAAGGCATTTAAAAATAAAACGTTTCCCTTTTCTGAATCAAACATTAACACTAAAACCCCTGCTGCCAAGTGCTGCTCCCTGTTAGGCCCACAGCTATAAAGCAGATGGCTAGAAAACTTACTTGAATGGCTTGAATGCCCTGAGGCGGGGATGGATGTTTCCCTGAACTGGCCTTGCCTTGGTGCCATTTGGGAGACACTGCAGCAACCATCCATTTGGGAGACACAGCAGCAACCATCCCTTCCAAACCCCCTGAAATGCTAATAAAAGTTGTTACAAAACCTCTCAATAGGGCCAGGCTCTGTAAGCAAGTAGTCTTGCTGCGCAAGCTGAGTGTGTGTGAAGGAGGCTGGGCCAGGAGCCGTGCTGTAACTTTGGGATCTTGCAAGAGCAGCTGCCTTGTCCTGCCCTTAGAGCAAGAGCTGCTGCTGCATCATGGCCGGGGTGATCTCCACAGCTGGCTTGGCCACTCTGTCCAGAGCTGGCTCTGTAGAAAGCCAAGGGAATTGGGAAGAGGATGTTATCTATCCTCAGTGCTCAACCTGCTGTAGGTAACTGAAGGGCAGTTTGTTTTCTTCACAACTATCTACTGCTGGCCTTTGGTCTCCTGATCTGTTAAGTGAGCAGGAGGCACACACCACCTGGACGCCTACAACTGTGGCTGTGCATGTAGCACCACAGGGGAATGGAGATGTGGCCTCAGCCCTGGAAGACCTGGATTTGTCAAGAGCTTGAGAAGAGCTTTTCCAAATTGACACTGGGGCTAAACATACTGCTCCTGGCCAAAGCCATCCCCCAAATGAACTCTTCCTTGGAAAAAAAACTGATCCAGTAGCAGGATTCTGGACAGTGCCTCCAGCTCTCAGCCACTAAAGCAAAAAGGCAGGAACTATAATCAGAGTGTAATTATCTAGCTAAGTCTGACTGAAGCTCCCCTCAGTCCCTGCAGTACTGCTCCCTCCTGGGGTTCCAGGCTGAAACTTAAGTAACAGTGCACACCATTAAATAGGAACAGAAAAAGAGGAAGCCAAGACCACACTCCAGGCTATGGGATCTGCGGCCAGTTGTGAGCCTGGCCCATCATCCCCCCCAGCTCCTTGGCATGCCATAGAGATAGGTGGGAGGAAGCAGCAGGGTCCACCACACCAGTCCCCAGCTGGTCATGCACTGAATGGTGTCCCTCAAACAGACCGTGATGAATAGCCTGTTGCTCTGTCCCTCTGCATCACCTTCATCTGGCTTTCATCAAAAAGAAAACAAAATAGAAATGAACACACGCAACCCCCGCACTCACAGTGGGAAGCTGGAGGCTTTACTCAGCCTGTATCCCTCCTGCCCAAGCTGCTCAGGCACCAGGAGTACCCGCCTGCCCCATGAGCGGGCCGCTGCCATCGTGCATGTCCTCCACAGGTGTCTGGTTGGTGTGCACCACAATTGTGTTCTCATCTACAAGCTCGCAGGCAGGATTGGTGAACGCTGAGAGTGGCAGTGTGATGCGCTGCATTTCACGCTCATAAACTTTCTGTTCATGCTTTTCCTTCAGGTCTTTCCCTCTAGATTAAAAAAAAAACAAAACATATGCGCATGGGGTGAGTGTCACTGCTTGGAGGCAGAGTCTCAGTAAAGGTGATATAGTAGAAAAGAAGGGACTCTGCTCTTTAAGAAACAGATGTTTCAGCTACATACAAAGGGCCAGAAGCATTCTCTACTGTAAGCAGAGGACCCCATATGAGCATCTTTAAAAAACAAGCAGCCAAGTAAAGTCTGTCCCTCCCTCATAAACTGGCTTATTCACTGACATTGCTACAGCTAAATGATGACTGTGAAGCCAGGCAAACCATGGAGCTGACAAAATGTTTCCTTGTACCTTATAGTCCCACAGCACTGCCTGGTGCAGGCCCAGAGGAGCAGTGAGACAGCACTGAGCCCACTGCTGTGGAAAAGAGCTTCCATAACATGCTTCATCTGATAGAAACAAATACTGGAGGTGGTGACAGATTCTGCCTTTTGTTGCAGCAAACAAACCTGTGTAGCAAATTAAGCCGTTCCTGAAAGCATTAAAGCTTACTTCAGAGCTGGCCCTGCCTTCTGCCGCTGCAGCTAACCACAGCGAGCTCCCCAAACCTACCTCACTGTTCAGCCTGTTGCTAAGGGAGGAGACACCTCTGCAACTTGTACTGAGGAAGAACTGCCTTGCTTTAAAAATGGATGGCATTAATAGCATGTTGTCTCCAGAAAAGCTATGAACACATTAAAGGTTTCTCACCACATCTACCCAAACCTGCCAGCTTGCACGTGCAATTTTGAGAGCTAGGCAAGAAGAGAGGGAGGCAGTAAACCTGCACTGCAGCCCTGCTATGAGCTCTCTGGGATTGAAGAAGCAAAGCTGCATTTGGACAAAGCTCAACATTGGTCTATTGCTTCTTCCCGCCAAACATCGGAGTGAGGTGGGACAGGCACCACTCGCTCCTCCTGGGGCTTGTGATCCCAACCAGGCAGAGCTGCTGGGGTTTCCTGACAGCACATAAGCATTTTGGCTGCTTTTCAAAGCTGCCTACAAGCATGCAGTAGTGGCTGCCGTTCCTGCCAGCACACGAGACAGCATTCTCTGAAGTGACACCTCAAATCAGATTCCTCGACAAGCAGCGCTCTGTTTTGCCCCTTATGTAACACTCCTCCCTCTGTTTTTTTTTCTGTCGGCATTTATTATAAACACTTACATAAGGACATGTCCCAGCTTGGGAAAGGGCTCCTTCTGCTTGGTTGTGTCAGACTGCTGTCAAACAGCCAAACTACAGAACAAACCCTCCCAGAGGAGGGAGCCTGGGCCTTCACTTGCTGCAGCGACATTCACTGCTATGTGTTAATTCGCCCTGTCTCTCACAACTAGGCTGCTTGCTATTGCCGCTAACCTCAAACGCTGCTGAGCTACAGAAACATTTCTGCCCAACACAGTGAAGTGGCTGAACAAATCGTAACTTAAGTGTGAATCAAAACTGACCTTAAAGTATACAGGAGCTTTGGTAAAATGAACTTTGTTGGACAAAAAAAAGTGCTACTTTATATTCAGCTTCATACGATACAATGCACAACTGGCAGAGAATTTGCCAATTGTTTTTCTTCCTAAGCTAGCTAGACTAGAGAAACCAGGAGAAGCGGTGGCCTGCTAGAAGGATTGTTCTCTTTCCGATCACAAAAGAAACTTCCTGTGAGGGCACCTGCGATCTGCTCTCTCCAGCTCTTACGTAAAATTCAGCTCCCCTGCACGCATCTGAGAAAGCCACATCAAGGCACACATGCACGCACACACACAGAGGCGTGTGTGTACACAAACAAAAAGTAAAGAGGGCAGAATGGGACAGAATACCACATTGATGGGTGAAATGGAGAAGAATGGGATTAACTCTTAAATGGTTCTTTCCTCAGTGCGACAAGTGAAAGCCATATCAAAACATGTGCTTCTGTCTGCCTTTTCATTAGGATCTGGTTGGGTCTGCAGGTGCTCAGACTTTCTTGCTCTATGTATGTTGCTTCGTGCCAACACCAGCTTTTGGACAAAGGAGAATAGCCACTGACCTCTTATAGATGTATCCCAGGACAATGCCGGCTCCGATGGCAATGATTATCACCATCATGATCAGCCCCAGCACATAGCCTGTGAAGAGAGGAAGAAAAGAGGCAAAATTAGAGGCAGTAGATCCAGCTAGAGCATTGCTTTCAGAGCCTCAAAACAAATCCATCCTGCCGGAATTACAGGAATGGATCCATCACATGATCCTCAGTTTGTACCTAGTGTCCCTAAGTCCTTCTTTTCTTTGGAGTTCATCTGCACTCTCTGACTGATCCCAATGACGGGCTGCACAGCGGCTGCCTCACTCCGGGAGGGCAAGGTATCAGCTGGTTCAAACACCTGGTTGACCTCCTGAGAAGTACCAACTTCTGCTGTAGGGACTGGGGCTGTGGCAGCTGTAGCATCTATTGAGAGGAAAAGACATAAAAAATACGAAGCATTGATGAGTACTTCAAAACAACATGTGCCTTGTGAGTGGGACAGTTCTAGACTGGTATCACCGAACCGCCTTCAAAGTACACTGAAAAACACTTGTTCCCTCTTAAGTTGTTGCCAGAAATCCTACCAAGGCAGACAAGAAATGTACTCCTCCCCCCACTTTCCTTTGACATGAACCTATTTTAAGAGTGCAAGGCACCACCACAGATGAGAGAGAAGTCAGACAGTAGAACGAAACCCAGGTTCAGGGCATGAGTCCAGGGGCTGCACAATGACTTCATTTAGTGTACAGATCAATATACAGGCTGCAGCTTCAATCACGCTGAACAGACATGAACAAGATGATGAGAATCTCCATCCCAAATCTCCCAGGAGCCTATTTATCTCTCTTCTGCCTCAATCTTCCTGATACAGGAAGGTTTGACAGAAGGAGGCTCCAGCTGGTGTGAAAACAACCTGGGGACATTCTTCTTACCCAGCCCCTTGCTGCAGCCATGTAGCAAACTCCTTGAGCATGATGGACAGGCTAAGTCAGAGCAACACATCAGGCAGCACAGCCACTGACTAGTGTAAGTACAGCAAGCTCCTCTTCAGCCAGAGCCCAAACAAAGGTGCGTAAGGATGGATGCTCACAGCACAGACTCCTTCCCAGCCCTGTGGATTTCTTACCAACAGCATTGAGGATTTTCAAGGTAGCTCCTTCCTTCATGACACAGTTAAAATGGAAGCTGTAGCACAGTAAAAGCTATGACAGTGGAAAGTAGGTATCTATTACCTGTCCCTACACAAAAAACCCCTACTTTTTGGAAATGCTATACACAGTATGCATCCACACCTGAAAACTCTCCACCTGCATCTCACCCCATAGCTGGCAGTAACTCTGTGGATTTTCTATCCGCAGCCATTTTGAGTCCTCAGTGGAATGTGAAATGGAAGTACAGAAGGGGAGTTAGAGACAGGAAATCAAGGTCTCCTGCACTGCACAGTGACTTTACATAGGGTCAGCCAGAGAAACTGAACTAAGGGGGAGCTGCAGGACACGACTACAATAAAAAGGTGCCTGCTCCGAGACACAAAAATAGCCAAACCCCTTAACCATGCAAATGGTGCATTGGCTGAAAGGTCAGGGAACTCTCCTGATCTCAAAGCTGCAGGACTGTTTTGAGAAAGGTTCTTGGCAGCAGAGCATTTGTTTTGCTTCATCTTTAGCGAAAAGCAGGCAAAAAATGAGCAAAGTGAAGAAAAGGGGAGGCTGTATGTGTGGGTGAAAGTGTTTACATGCAAGGATAACAATCCCAAGGGACAGTGGAGTGTGTAAATCTTGAGGGGCTCAGAAATAAGTAAACAGTTCAAAAAAACCAAGTGGTTGCTTTGGCATCAGTCAATACTGACATCTCCTCTCCCCGAAACAGTCTTCAGCTACAGTTCTTTTGACAAACTGTTTCCCATCCCGACTATCCAGAAGGAATCCAGTGCTTGGGTTTTCCATTTCTTACTGTCCTCCCTTCAATTCTCATTTTCTCCAAGTTCATTCCTGCCACCTCTACCCAAATTCACCCTAGCACTCATTTAGCAGCAGGACACTTGTTTAGACAGCAGTAACATGCCCCACAGTCATGGTCTACCAACATTTCTGCAGTTCCTAAATGCCCAGACCTCAGCTTTTTTCAACAAGCTAAAGAGCCCTATAATGACTAATGAAATGAGTGGGGGGGCAAGGCTTTGCAGAGGCCTTTTCTGCCACTAATGGAAAAGCTCTAGGGGCGGAGCAAGGCACAGCTGGGAGGCAGATGTGCACACACAGGCGAGGGCTGGACGGGAGCCCCGGGTACACTCCGTTCCTGGGGGAGGGCAGTGGGTGCTGCCATAACCCAGGGTTGTTTGTGCGCAGGGGGAACCCCGCCCTGGCGACAAACCCAGCCCCCAGCGGCAGGAGGCAGTCCGGGGCGGGGGGGGCAATGCCCCGGGGAGGGCAGGAGAAGAAGGGGGGCCGGCTGGGCCAGCTCCTACCTGAGCAGCGGGCGATGTCGCAGGGTCTCCGCTCGGGGACCCCCGCGGCGCCCCGGATGTAGC